CCCTAGCAACTAAAGTGCTCACAGTCGCCATCTGCGAGAATTTTGGTTGGGTCGACTGTGAGGGAGTGGCCCGTGCAAGCCGAGTGAATCTTCACCTAAATTGGCTGGTACAATTATTGTCTGTTGTACACAGTTTTTCCCCTCACCTGTGTGGTAAGTCATTACTGAGTCCTGCTTTATCTTGCCCGGACTGAGGGTTGTTCAGCATCAGCCAACGCTATCCCCCGAGGGTGTTATAATTCAACAAGCTTATGCTCCCTTGCACTATAGTTTTGTTGCGACGCACTGATGGAGCGTTTAGCCGCAGGTGTCTATGTAGTTTGGGAGATGCAAAACCTTTATGTACCTTTTGTAGTTTGAAATCAGAACATGTGTGGCCTACGTAGCCGGTCTGGCACGATTCGTCACAAACTGGGTCAAGGCACATCTCTGACCGTTTTTTATTCTTCTCATCAGTGCATGGTGGGTTTGTAAATAGACATTGGCGTAGACACTGCACATTTGGTTTCAGTATAAACAACTTCACTCGCAGGTCGTTACGATAGCCTGACCACAGTGATGGTCCTCGTTACTTGCAAGCGATAATAGTGTTCACCCCTTTTGTGAAAGCGACTACCAACTATTGTACTCTGGAGTGCTAGTTCCCTTTGGTCAACTAAACAACAACTGCACCAACAACTGAAGCTGTTTGGTTGCGTGTGAGCTCGCGGGAGCCATTTTCACAATCGCAATGATATTGCCTATATGCCCCACCCCCAAAATGTTAACCATGTCCCAGTGACCATGGGCCCGTGCTTTGTGGAGCTAACTTTGTTGCTGTGCTCAACGCGTACACCTGCCCCCCTCCCTCCCAATGGCTGCATCGCAATGGGAAGGTCGGGCTCTATGGTGATCGATACACCCTTCTGGTGTCTGTGTTGAGGGCTGGCAAACAGTTTTTCTCCTGCGACTTCCGTGCCATGTCGACGCACATCCTTCCAACTGAAATTGAATACTAGATTGACGGAATGTGAACAGATGCGTTGGGAACGGCTTCCTGCTTCGGGTGGCTAGAAAACATGGTACGGCCGGTATTATTATGCAAAATTCCGAAATTTGCGAAGGATTGACAATCGCTCGCAAACTGGTAGGGCTGTAATACTGATTACCATGCAGCCTAATCTCACGACATTTCAGACATTTCCGGCTTTTTAAGCAGCTTCTTCCTGACAACTTTGAATGATTATCTTCTGTAGGGCATGACTACTTAAGTAACATGCATGTATCTCATGGATTTTGACTACCCTTATAAATTTAAATATATTTTATAGAAGACATTTACAAAAATATTCATTCTTGTACTCGTTTGGTAGCAAATTACGACGTCTTCAAATTTTATACTTTTAGCAGGGATATATCTCTATTTTAAAAAGTTTCTAAATTGCCGAATAGTTTTGAAATCTGCTGAACGTTACAACTGAATTCAAGGTTTCTAAACTGCGTGCTGTGCACATCTTGTGTAAGGAAAAGTACGTTTTTCCCTACGGTGTGACGAAGGGATCATGTAGTTTTCATAACACTTTGCAATAGATATGGATCATGCTGTGAATATTATAGGCCACATTAATAAAGTGACGAATACGATGTATTATGAATGAACACTTCAAAGTCGTAAAAAATCCTATAATTAGACATTTTTTAAAGCCGAAATGCACCCTGCCTTTAAGTATAAAATTTGAAAATGGCGTAATTGATATCAGTCGAGTACAAGAAAGCATAGTTTTGCGAATGTTTCTTATAAAATATATTTGAATTTATAAGGGCAGTCAAAATCAATGAGTTAAATGCATACTACTTAAGTAGCCATTTTTTCAGAGTGTACATCTTATAAGCGGTCTGAGAGCAGCTCGGAAAATATTCGACATCCCGTCGGGACTGAAATGATGTGAGATTAGGATGCACGATAATTAATATTGCAACCTTACTCGATGCCGATTTACGAGTGATTATCAATCACTCGCAAATTTCGGAATTTTGCATGAAATACCGGCCGTACTGTACAATCTTCACAATCACACTCGCCGTCCTCTAAGCTGAGAAAAGACCGAGATGACTGCATAAATCGCGTCGATGGTAACTGTCAAATTACTTACTAATCCAGAGGCGAAATCTGAGCGATGTACTGAGGAGAAAAACACGTTTGCTTTTTCGCGGAAAGGTGGCTAGGCATTCGCTGAAATGCAAACCCCACAAGAAAACATGTTGCACTTTTCGTGGTTCAATTCCGGAAGCTAAACTGGACTTTATCAACCGCGTACATATCGGTCATAAATAAGTGTGAGTCATCAAGACAGACGGAGACTGGATGGAATAAACTGCCGCTGACAGCGCTGCCTTGGCTGTAGGAGCCGTCAACGTCAACGCGGTTTTAAAGACAGCGAACTGGAGAGCTCCAGTTTCTTGGGTTCAGAAAAATGAGGCACGCACTAGATGTGCGTGTGTGCATAAACGACAGACGCACACAAAGCTCCACAGCTTAATCTGAGGAAAATTGAAAGTG